AAGAAGTAGAGGAGATGATAAATATAAGGCTAGAAGTGTTGTTGTTGTTGTTGTTGTTTATTTTGAGGGAGAGATAATAAAGAAAACTTCCCTGGTGTACGTCTTACGAACTAAATTCCTACGTTGTGTGTTTCTTTGCGATTCTGAAAGACGACTGAAAGACAAAAACACTTGCAGAGACCCGCACACTTGCCGGGATGACGTCTGATGTTGCTGAATTATTTCGATTTGGTTCAATATGATATTAGAAAAAATCCTTTGTGGTTTAAATTGATTTCTGGGATCACCTGAACATTAGACATCTCAGCTTATGTCCTCTGAAGATTAGACACACCAACTTATTTCGCGTGAAGACTAATTAACCTATTTCTAATATAACTTAATCTAATCCCCAGCGAGCGTTTGGGTGTCTAATCTTCAGATAAAATAAACTGTGGTGGTTAATCTTTAGGTGGAATAAGGTGGAATATCTTATTTTCAGGTGGTCTAATTTTTGCAATTTTCGGTGTAATTTCCGGAGGATATCACAACAGTGTTTGGACCAATTCGATAGAAACTGGGTAGACATAGCAGCTGTAACCAATTTATAACGTTATATTGGGTAGCACATCAATTAAGCCTCACTTCTATTGGGTCCTATCTTACCATAACCTTATTTAACATTACCTAAACCTTCTCCTTTCCCTCCCACACACAGTCAGAATATGTGTGTGTGTGTGTGTGTGTTCTCCTGTTTTTATTCTGAAAAACGCCATGCTTGTCCTTTGTGTTTACATATTTGCATTAGTTAGTGGCTGAGTGAGAGTGCCGGCAACATCACACCCATGCTAATGTCTGCCTTTGTAATGCATAGGTCCTTTTGCAATCATGTTTCGGGAAAATAAACGCGATACATTCTTACATCAATTGGTAGCCACGAATGTGTGTGTGTGTGTGTGTGTGTGTGTAGAGAGAACACATGTTAATACAGTAAATACCTTTGCGCTGCGTGAATCCCTCAGTCCCTTGATCCCGTAATCCTAATGTATTTGTGTAAGGCAATTTGGCCTGCCGAGCATCTTACACTAGTGATCGTGTCTATTGGCACATTTAGGCGAGCCGAAACGATTGGAATGTCATGGTAATTAGAGATGCTGGATTTAGAGGTCTCAATGATTCGTTTGTCTAATCCTAACCAGAAGAATTAAGTACTGAACGACGTCGTGTACTCCTCCATCACTGAGTTATTTTTTTTATTTATTAGTCAATTATTTTAGCAAGCAAGCAAGCAAACAAGTAAGCAAGCAAGTTTGAACCATTGATTTGAAGGCATCAAGCAAGACTCTCCGATATTAGTCTCGGGTCTAGCTAAGCGGAGGTGCGTGGGTAGAGGAGGAAGGTCGGTCAATATACCGAGAAGTTATGATTTATTATCCCCAGACGGTCTCTCTTCCGTCCTTCTTCCTCCACCTTCTTCTTCCTATTACTCCGTTCTCTTAATCCTCTTTCTCCTCCTTCGTTCTCTTTTTCCCCGTTCCATTCTTCTTCATTTTCTTCCCGCCCCATCATCTTTCTCTCCTTCTTCCTCTTTCCTTCCTTATCCTCTCTCTCTCTCCTCTTCCTCCTTTTCCTCCTCTTCCGCTACACCCTCTCCCTTTTCCTCATTCTTTCCCTCGGCTTGGTTTCTCTTTTCTCCTCCGTTTCTCCTTCTCTTTCCCGCCTTGCTTCTCTTTCTCTTTCCCGCCTTGCTTCCCCCTATCTTTCTTTCTCCTTCACCTCGCCCTTTCTCTCTCTACCTCCTCCTGTTGCTCCTTCTCTTCCCCACCTCGCCCCCTCTCTCTCTTCCTCCTTCTGTTGCTCCTTCTCTTCCCCACCTCGTCTCCCGTCTCCCTTCCTTCTCCTCCACCTCTTCTCCCTCCCCCTCATTCACTCTGCTGCCTGGACGTGGCTTCCAGACCCCAATGAACCTTCACTTAATTCTTAATTCACAAACATTTCGTCTTGAGAAAACGTCGTCTCGTGGAACTTAATTCAGTGTCGCTTGATGTTAATATGATGTTTTGGCATAATTTACCGCTAAGAGGTTTAATTCATTTTGTTTTACATTATAACGATTGGTGTTTAATTATTTTTCTGTTTTTCTTCTAATTTTAAGATTGCAAATATTTGTTTTTTATTGATGTATATTCTCTATTTATTACACTGAAGAAAACGCCAATACGAAATTATTATCAATCAGTCTATACTCAGAACACCGTGACCTATAGTCCAGTCGTCTGACCTTAATTCCTGACCTATAAACGAGGAGACAAACAAGAAAATATAATTATATATTTGTTATTAATTCATTTAATTTATCATGAATTATTATCATTCCACTCTTTAATGTCCGGTTTAGTTATTATCTGTTCTACCTATAACACTACTTCTTTGTTTGTGTTAATAAATTTATCGCCTCCAAATTTATTGTTCCGTGTTACAAGTCACAAATTTGTGTCGAGGTTAATTGTTACTTATTCGTGCTTGTCTCTATTTTATTCTGGTTAGGCTCTTACCCAAACATTTACTGCAGAAGAATTAGTATTTAGGAGGCTACAGAATTGTTCAGTGGCAAACTAATGTGCACTAAAAGTATTTGGAATGGGTTAGTGCGTGTATGAGAGAGAGAGAGAGAGAGAGAGAGAGAGAGAGAGAGAGAGAGAGAGAGAGAGAGAGACTAACTAATCATTATTTACTCTAGGGGCGCCAGTTACCACCAATTACCATGATAACAAGGCTTAACTCTCTACACCAAACAACTTAAAAATATTCAGATATAACATGTTAATACTCTCATAATAAAAAATAAATAAAAATAAATACACAGACTGGTAACCGAAACATTCCACCCTGGGAGGTCAAGTACAATACGAAGTGGCAGTATTTTTCATATCTCCGTCATACAGGAAACTCTCAATTAAGTTTCTTGTTATTCTTCGTAAACATTTCAAATCACATGTTTTCAGAACAGTCTTTGTACTCAATTGTGACGGTGGTAGTAGCGTGTGTGTGTGTGTGTGTGTGTGTGTGTGTGTGTGTGTGTGTGTGCCGGTGGTGATAGTGGTGCGGTGGTTGTGGTGGTAAGTAGCTGTAGTAATATAATTTGTGGTAGTGGTGGTGGTGGCTTGTAACTGGTAGTAATTGTGGTGGTGACAAAGGGTGTTAGTAGTGGTGGTAGTGGTAAGTGGTAATGATGACCACTTACCACTTAACCCCAGCAGAAAAGTCATTTCTTGCATTACCACCGAGACTGGAAGGAATGGGAATGACCAATACAGAGGAGCTTGCTGCCACCGAACATCAGAACTCAGCCAAGCTCACGGCAGCTTTACTGAGCACATAATAGCTCAGAATGCAACAAGTGAGGTGGATACCAACGAATTAAACAAGATTCGACGGTCCATTACGACAGAGTGACAGCACACCCAAAGTGATAAACTGCAACAACTGATGCAGCAATTGCCTGAGAACTTGAAGAAAACAAAAGTAGCTATAGTGGTCTCCTCGAACTGGGTAACAACGTTACCGATAAGGGCAAAAGGTTTCAGCCTTAATAAACAAAAATTCACGGATGCCATTGCTCTAAGGTACGGTTGGCCAGTAGAAGGTTTGCCCTTCCAATGCGTGTGTGGTTCATCCTACGACTTTGATCACACCATGGTATGCAAGAAGGGGGGCTTCGTATGCATGAGGCATGACGAAGTAAGGGATCTCACAGCAAATTTACTGAAGGAAATCTGCCACGACGTCATGGTGGAACTGACCTTCCTTCCATTGGACGATGAGAGCCTCCACCACAGGACTTCCAACACATCTAACGAAGCCTGTGTGGACGTCAGCGTTCGAAGATTCTGGACGCGGGGACAGCGAGCCTTCTTTGATGACAGGATATTCGACCCCATGGCCCCATGTCACCATAACTTGTCTCTTGAGGCTGCACACAAGAGGAACGAGAACAAAATTAGGGCGTATACGTAGAGAATTCAGAATGTGAATCAGGGCAGCTTCACTCCTCTGGTGTTCACATCCTCCGGCGGGATGGGATCAAGTGGAAGACGCTTCTATGCAAGATTGGTGGAGGTGCTGTCTGAGCAGAAGCAGCAGCCAGAAGCCACGTTGCAGCCTGGTTGAGATGTCGACTGTCCTTCTCTCTGCTTAGGTCTGCTTTGCTTTGCCTGAGGGGAACGAGATCTTCTGCCCCAAAGCAAACAACAGTCGCAGATATTGACTATGAGGCAACAGTCACTGAATGCCCCATAGATCTGCGGCTTAACCAACTCAACACTGCTTGGGTAGCTACTTTTGTATTAGAATATTTAATTTTAGGGATATAAAATGGCGGCGAAGGTGTGGATGATGGGGTAGGCTGGAGGCCAATTTAAAAAAAAGTAGCTGTAGTAGTAGCAGTAGTAGTTGTTGGTGGTAGATGTATAACGTGTGGTGGGGGCAGTGGTATTGGGACAGGCCAGTGGTGCTGGTGGTGTAGTCATAGAGGGGGACAGCTTTGTTCTCTCGTCTGTGCCTCGGGTCGTCTTTGTTAGTAGCTTCCACACTTTCGGGAATCGTGCCTGGGCTCACTCTACTACCAGGGAATACTGAGAGCCAGGGAATATTCTATTGTTCATCCTTTTTCCTCTTTTTTTTTCTTATTATTTTTTTTCCGTATAGCCTAAAGTGAATCCTATATACATTTAGAGTCCTGGCTGTATGTCTATAAAATCTTTGTAAGTATCATACATAAACTGAATCATCTAATTTCCTCTAAACGTTCATCATTAATATTTTGCACAGGTTGGATCAGGTGATTTGTTGACAAGACTTTCACCTGTTTTAGCATTATATTGGACAGCACTTTTCCTCGACTTTACAGTAAATTCAATTGTGTAAAGGTATTCTCATGTTATTCCCCAGGTGTTTATGTTTACGTGTGTATGCGTCAGGTGGGCCGGAACGTATATCTAAGCTGTTTGTTTAATTGGCAGGGTCGTCACCTGTTCTCGGCAGACACACTGCCGGACATGAAAGACTGGATCAGGAGGCTACACTCAGCTCTTGAACAAATACGAAACAACAATCGACCTGCGACTTCGACGACCTCGTCCTCCACAAAGGAATCCGGGAAGAGGAGGAAAGAGGAAAACCAAGATAATAAAGAAAAAGGACAGAATAAGGAGAATCTACACGGGTCCACTAAAGAGAAAAAGAAGAAGAAAACGGAAGTAAGTGAAGCATTTATGAATTCCCATCATTGGCTACGAAATAGGACGCCAGGAGTTTGTTTAAAAGAGTTGCCTTCCTTTAATTGCTTACACACTTAGGCCCCTTTCATACTATGCTGTTTCTCGCCGCATCTAGATGCGGTGCGGTGCCGGACATAGCAGTCGACTGATAGTTCTTATGTACCTCTTCACACTCTGCTGTTGCGGCGAATTCGCCGGTCCGACGCCGGACTGCATGTGCTGCGTCCCACTGGACTTGTCCGGTAACGCGCCCGTACGCTGCGAACTGTGGACAAGAATCCAAAGTTGGGTCGCTGTACGCGGCAGCCGGATGAATGTGCAGCAGAAAACCGTGGTCTCTCTGGTGCGACAGAAAACCGTGGTCTCTGGTGCGACAGAAAACCGTGGTCTCTGGTGCGGCGACCACATCTAGGTGCGGCGAAGAACTGCATATTGTGAAAGAGGTCTTAATTATACTTCATAATGGTGAAGAATTAATTAAATTCAAAAGTTATCATCATTTTACAGTAATTTAGAACAACATTATGTAGCGATAAATGATGCATATAAATGTACAGTACATCAAAGGTATCTAATGTAACTGGAAGACGAACATGCAGTTCAGACGACATGAATCTTTCTCACACGACCATACATAGGACAAAATTCCCTGATTCACTGATTCACTACAGAAATCTTGTCCACCATCTGAGATCATAAACCAATAATTTCTTACATGGATTACTGATGCTGATAACACTTGGAGATTCAACCGAGTCAACACCATGCACGCACACACACACACACACACACACACACACACTCCTAGTTTAGTAACCACCATACACATACTCCTAGTTAAGTCAACACCATACATACACTCCTAGTTAAGTCAACACCATACACACACTCTTAGTTAAGTCAGCACCATACACACACTACTAGTTAAGTCAACACCATACACACACACTCCTAGTTAAGTCAACACCATACACACACTCTTAGTTAAGTCAACACCATACACACACTACTAGTTAAGTCAACACCATACACACACACTACTGGTTAAGTCAGCACCATACACACACTCCTAGTTAAGTCAACACCATACACACACTCCTAGTTAAGTCAGCACCATACACACACTCCTAGTTAAGTCAACACCATACACACACTCCTAGTTCCCTGTAACGCAATGGTAGCGTAGTCGGCTCACATCAGAAAGATCCCCGGTTCGATTCCTGGGCAGGGTGAGAAATTAGGCAGGTCTCTTTACTCCCGTTGCCTCTGTTCACCTAGCAGTGAGTAGGAACCTGGTTGTAAGACGGCTGTTGTGGGTCGCATCCTGGGAATGGTGTAATGCAATAACATCTGAGGAACAATTCTCAAAGATTTGGGACTTGTGCCCGAGATATGGGTGTAAACCCGACAACCAGAGACAAAGTTAAGTCAACACCATACACACGCTCCTAGTTAAGTCAACACCGTACACACACTACTAGTTAAGTCAACACCATACACACACTCCTAGTTAAGTCAACACCGTACACACACTACGAGTTAAGTCACCACCACACACACACTCCTAGTTAAGTCACCACCATACACACTCCTAGTTAAGTCACAACCAAACACGCACTACAAGTTAAGTCACCACCATACACACATTACTAGACAAGTCGCCACCACACACACACTACTAGTTAATTCACCACCATACATACTCTACAAGTTAAGTCATCACCATACACACCCAGTTACTGTGTGTTGCCACGAGGAGGCACAGCAGGAGTCTTGATGGTGAGGAGGCTGTGTACTGGCAGGGGAGGACTTATGCAAGTTACTTCCCTGTTCGCTACTAGGGCTAGCCAGCAACGATAGCTGAAAGCGAGAGGGAGCAGGCAGTGCTTGCACCTTAACACTAACACAATGCTGCCACACTAGACGCATTACACCACCCTGTGCGCACACACACGCACGCACACACACATACACACACATACACACACGGTCCTTGTTGAGTCACCCCACACACACACCCGCAAACACATCTAGTTGAGCTGTAACAATTGTGTATTCATTCTTTTTCCAGGTCTTTTGCATTAAATTGCACCAGGTTATGTTCATGACCTGTTAAGTTTAGTTATGTATCGAAAGAAGTGTATCCTCATTATTAAAAGAATAGAATGAGCATAGTCTCACTCATTGTTCTATCTTCCTGAGAAATAAGAGAGCAAGTATTCCTAACTTGTTAAGCACTTACTCATAAAAATATCTCAACTGGTGGTGCAAAGTGATGAAAGAATGTAACAATGTATAAAATACTTTTAGAATAACAAGGGCTTATAATAATCTATGGTTTATCATACTTTTTGTTCACCCAACCCTTTAAAAGTGTTAGCCAGGTCAAGTAACTTGATGAGGCCTCATTGACGACTCCTGGAAAGAATTAGCGGGAAGTCTGGCGCCATTTTAGAAGCTTATTTGACACGTCTTCAGATTCTGGGAAAGCCATCCGGAATGTTAATGGAATTTCAAATACTGTATTTTTTCCCCGATCACGTTTTTTTTTTCAATTTTGTCTCGAAGCAAATAATTCGCTCCGGCTTCTCATTAAAAACTTTTATTTATATATTTTTCTTTACGAGTCTGTCCTAAACTTTATGTTTAAATCCACAGGAATCTCATCGCTCTCGTAAACCAGGCGTGTCCTCCGAGACACAGACCCCAATGGGTGAGGTAACACCAATGAAGTCAGAAGAGGAGGCGGAGCTAAAAACGATGACGTCACCAAGGGGAGGCGTGCAATTGCCAGGTCTGATGTCATACAAGGGCTTTCAGCTGCCTGGAATGTCAGCAAAGAAAGAGCCGGAGGCAAAGAAAGAGCCGCAGCCTCCGGCGGAACTGACGAAGAGTACGGAAGGAAGTGAAGACCTTCCTCAAGCTGGTCCTATCCTCCCCTGCGTCACCAAATTGAGGGTGAAGGGGCCGCAAGGTATGGTGTGAGGGTGATGGGAAGAGTGAAGGTGTACAGGGTATGGTGTGAGGGTGATGGGAAGAGTGAAGGTGTACAAGGTATGGTGTGAGGGTGATGGGAAGAGTGAAGGTGTACAAGGTATGGTGTGAGGGTGATGGGAAGAGTGAAGGTGTACAAGGTATGGTGTGAGGGTGATGGGAAGAGTGAAGGTGTACAAGGTATGGTGTGAGGGTGATGGGAAGAGTGAAGGGGTACAAGGTATGGTGAGGGTGATGGAAAGTGTAGGTATGGTGAGGGGTGATGGGAAGAGTGAAGGAGCACAAGGTATGGTGTGAGGGTGATGGGAAGAGTGAAGGTGTACAAGGTATGGGTGATGGGAGAGTGAAGGTGCACAAGGTATGGTGAGGGTGATGGGAAGAGTGAAGGTGTACAAGGTATGGTGTGAGGTGATGGGAAGAGTGTATGGTGGGTGATGGGAAGAGAAGGTGTACAAGGTATGGTGCGGGTGATGGGAAGAGTGAAGGTGTACAAGGTATGGTGCGAAGGTGATGGGAAGAGTGAAGGGGCCGCAAGGTATGGTGTGAGGGTGATGGGAAGAGTGAAGGTGTACAAGGTATGGTGCGAAGGTGATGGGAAGAGTGAAGGGGCCGCAAGGTATGGTGCGAGGGTGATGGGAAGAGTGAAGGTGTACAAGGTATGGTGCGAAGGTGATGGGAAGAATGAAGGGGCCGCAAGGTATGGTGTGAGGGTGATGGGAAGAGTGAAGGTGTACAAGGTATGGTGTGAGGGTGATGGGAAGAGTGAAGGGGCCTTAAGATATGGGTGTGTGATGGTGATGAGACGTTAGAAGGGAAATAAAATTTTATGTACTCCTATAAGGATACTGAAGAATATGCCTGATGATTGGGTTGGGACAAACAAGAGGATCACTCAAGAGAACACATTATTGATGACAAAGATAATCTAACTAAAAACTCCTTGGGTAGTTCTAGCATATCTGGGTCATTAATTCTGCTTCTAGGGTTGTAAATCTCCAGGAGTCACGTGTGCAAGTATCGCTAACACCATGGTATGTCTTCCATTTTATCAACATTGTACTAAACTGTGACCTTCTCCCCAGGTCGTCGTGCCCCACAGAGCCAACGTCGAATCACCGCTGCAGCCCTGAAGAAGCGAGCCAGCTCCCTCTCTGCACTGGAGTATCAAGACATCAACGACAACAGGTCAGAGTCTAGTCAGGGTCAACGAGGCTCCTCCAGAGATTCTCAAACACCCGAGAATGAGTTAGAAGGGGTAGAGGAGGAGGGTCCTCAAGTGAGGCAGGTCCAGTTTGATGACATTGATGATGATATTTTCTTCAAGCCAAGGATTCAGGAAGTAAACCCAGGGAGGGAACATGGAGGGGACCAGGAGGAGAGGGAGACAAGGAAGGAGAAGAAGCGTTCGTCTACCCTGAAAGTTAACTTTGATGATAGGGATCACCGTAGATCAACTTCTCGTTCAAGAAATGGAACTCTCTTAGGTTCCAAGTTTTCACGGATCAGGGAGACGATGGTGTCCATAAAGAGAAACAGATATGAGAGTAAAGAACCTATAGGAAGACCCGATCATCCTGACGACATAGAGAGCTCCCGCTGGAACTGCTCCATCTTATAACATGCATTCTGGTGGTGCTTGCCCTGTATATCATGAGCTTAATATTGTTATTATACCCAGTTAAAATATACGTATGAAAATACAATTAGTACTCAAGACATAAACGTCGGTCGCAGACAGTCAGTCGTGGCGTCAGGAGGAACAGTAAATACTGTATAGCTGCAGAATGTTCACCTTAAGTCGCTTGTATGACAGCTGTCACTCCAGGTTAACATCCCTCTGTTTCTGTCATGTTCTTCTGACATCTTCTGCCTGAACCAATGCCCCGAACATTGTCTTGAACAACGTCATGTTTACAGTATTTTCAAAAAGAAAAAAAAGAAGGATACAGTCAAAGGAAATAGGACATCCATCTAAAGGGAATTAAAAATGCATTAAGTGAAGAAAATCCTGGAATTTTTCACTTGTTTCATTTTGATAAACGTCACTTGCAGGACAATGACTGTGACTGGTTATGTTTCCTGAGAATATTTCTTATTTAAGAGTTTAGGATTGAGTGAAACTTATAGTGTGACCAGAAGGAGAGAGACCCGTGTCCTGTCCATGGAGTGAACTCTGGTCCTAGTGCTGAAATATAAGGGCTTTATTCTCACAAAATGTACAGCACAAAATATCTTAGTAACCATGAATGAGTCACGGTGGTAATGAATTATTAGAGTGGGAACGAAACATTGTAAATTAAAAAAAAAAAGTGTTATCAACAGAACGGAGAGTAGCAATATTTTTGCTGTGATGTAAGAAGCATAAGAAGCATACCATGACGTGCCTTAACGCAATAATACGTAAACGTCCACCTCTGTCTGTTAGTGATAAAAATAATTATTATATATATAAGTGATCTCGTGAACACAACGGAACCAGTAATACGTAGAGTAAATATAAGCAATCTTTTGTGTTATTCATCAGTAAGGATGTTCCATAACTATGCCTTATTCTTTACATAGTTATATACGTATAGTGATGTTTCACAGGAGCCTTATTCCGAGTCATATAGTTTAGTAAGTATGACCACGGAAACTAGTCCTTTCTTATCTTGGGCGATGTGTCCCTTGGCCGTACCGTGGAGGGGGGGGGAGGTGAGCCTACCCTTGTAGTGTCGGAGCAAGTCACGAGAAACATTCACTTCCGTCTCTTGACAATCAGTTGAAAATATAGTCAGTCCAGGTGTTCTCTGTTTACACGCATACAAACACACACACACACACCGAGTATGTCAATAAGGGTTTCCATGAATGAGTCTTTATGTTGTGAGTGAATGAATATATATGACCATCAGTCAAGTCAATGACCGCATTTAATAAATCCACCAATGATACTGTTTTTTATGAACCAATTATCATGTTATCAAGTGGGTTAATTAGCTCCTACTTTTTTATGAATGGGTTGCCAGACTGTCAAGACCACCAATGAACGTATTTTCATGAATGAATCTCCGTATAATCAAAACCAGTCTGGCGTGAGTGAGTGAGTGTGTCCTGTTTCCATTTTCTTCAGGTGACGATCTTTCTTATTAGTGAGTCGACGTAACTGCGTGTTTCTTGAGACTCGTATTGTCATGATGGGGTCAACGAAGTGCCTGAACGTTTGGTGTCGAGTTTCGTCACAGTCATGTAACGTGTGTTCAGTTACGCACAAAGATGTTAGTGTCTGTGTTGGCCTTATGTGAGGAGCTTTATTTATCCACACAGGGAAAACAAAGTGTGACTTATCCGGGCTTAAGGAAAATACTACGTGATAGAATATAAACATTTAAGAAAGCCTTATATTATATACATTATATATATACATATAATAAGTATAAAAATGCTATATTTAGGTCTAGTTTCGATATACAATTGTGTCGTTAGTCATGAGTTCTGTATCTTTGCATTACCCGGTCAGAGGCTGATACTCCAGAACTTCTTTAGGTTATATTAATCGATGCCATGAAATAAATGCTGATTTTTATGAGTCGTCTTCTCCTCGCTGACTTACATCTCTCACCACTATTTAACATTTGGAACAAGAGTGCAGAGAGTTCACTTTGCCTTTGGATTAGGGGAATGAGAGAAAACTGTTCATTTAGAGTCGAAAGAATAAAAATAACCTACAGCATTGGAACAAACAGGGTTAATACTGGTGAGTTGAGGGACATTTGCTTAAGTCTGAGTCTTGCATGTTGTTGTTGATGACGTTTTGCATTAGTTCAGGTAGTAATTGAAAGAGTCTCAGAACACAAAACAATAACATATGGATCTGTATTTATCTTGTTTTTTTAGTTTTTGCTGCAAGTTAGTCCGATAATGAGTAAATATATAGGTTTATGTTGATGAAATGTAGATGATATGTATGTTAGTTACAAGGATTGACATGTTAAAATGATTAGTAGGTATGCTATTTGCAAGGACAAGGACTAGTAAGTTACAAGGATTAGCAGGTTATAAGGATTTATACATGCAAAGATTGGTATGTTACTTACAGGGATTAGTTGGTTACTCCCAGGGATTATTTGGTTAGTTATACCTAGAGGTGTAACCAGGGAGAATGTGATTAGGAAAAAGACACCTGTACGATGGTTGATGGTCAGTGCTATACAGTATAGTGCTTCTCGCGGTGCTAGTCCATAGTGTTGTCACGATGATGCAGCAAAAAAATGTATAAGTTCCTCATATAGCTAACGCCAGCACGCGCGATCAACAGTGCCCAGTAGTTCTCCCTCTGCATCACAATGATGTTTCCTGAAACTTTGTCAGGTGAACGTTCACCCGACTTTCGCCTGCACTGGTGTTGATAAATTATCAAAAGAATCGGTAGATAAACTGGATAAAACCATTTGACACGAATGATACGAGGTACTTTCCTATGCAAGTGTACATTATATAAACATTTTAGAAATACACTCGTAAACGACATTAGTCAGTTAATACCTGTATTTAAGACATTGAGGTGAGTGTAGGTGTGACCCAAGTGCGAGTTGTGTCTACAGGGGAAGTTGGGTATTGAAGCTTCAATATTTTCTGTTCGTCTGGAGTATTCAGCTGGTGACGCTGGGTAATACATCTTTGATACGTTGCCAAAGGATTAAATCTTGTCATAGAGGGGTTTATGATAAAATTGTAAATAATATATATATTTGTAAAAAAAAAACACTTTTACATCAGGGTGTGAAATTTTCAACAATTCTTCCATTTTTTTAAGGATAATGAAGTTTCTTGTAGGAAAGGCAAGACACATGTGGAAGCACATTCAACACTCCAATGAGAATTTGTTGTGTGTGTGTTTTAAGGCATCGAGAGCTCTTCCAAATATATTTATCTCTTGGCGGAAATCTTTCAGTAGGGAGATGTAATATTTAGCACTAACCGCTCTTTAATTTTCCAAAAATCTGATTTATTCCGTTTGTGTGAAACTTTTGACAGCCAAGAATTCACTGCTCCCATTAGTTAGGAGGTAATATGCAGTATTTGCTTCACATTAAAGAATCTTTTCACGATGATAAGCCGTCACCCTTCAGTATATTGCAAAGCATATACAATGTTAATTCCAATAAATTACTGTTCATACGTTTAGGCCATGATAAGACTCAAGAACACTGGAGGGATCTTACACAGACTACTGGCCTCCTTCCTCCGCCTTGGCCACCAATAGGAGGATTGGCCATAACGTAAATTATATAAATAATAACTTGATCTTTTTCTTGACAAAAGTTTACACTATTAGAGGATTAAAAAAAAACATCAATGTAGCCAAGAGGTAAAAGGCAGACGGGGTCACGAGGCACGAGTGATACTCCACTTGTCTCTCGCTGAGCTGTTGACTAAAACACAGAGGCTGAGGGCCACTTTCATACCCTTTAGAGTGGCCCTCCAGCGGTGTCAGCTCACAGCATACTAAAACTTGAGTACCTCATTCAGCAGCAGCAGTATAAATCTTCTTTTTTTCTTCTTTGTCTAGCGTTAAAGCCAACCTAAGGGATGTGTCACTAAGTCGGGTTAGTTCCCATACACAAGTTGAAATTGGATTGGTATATCTATTCCCGTTTGTAATTTACTGTTGTCAGCTAACAGACACTGACTGTACACCACAATTCGCTGACTTAATAACCCCTATTAGAACACAGGGAACACTAGTATATCATAAATTTAACACAAACAGAACAAATTTGAAAAAAAAAACTTCGATCGTTGCAATGACAGTAAAGTGGAGCATTTCCTTAAGCTTTACCTATGCTAAAACAACGTACAGTCTTTAGTTATTTCAGGTAAATTTACACGTGAAATTTAGAACAAATAATCACTTCTTTGAAAGTAAACTCACTATGTAATATTCTGACTCAGGTGAACATTGGGGAGGAAGGAGTGCTGGGAGGTATCTCTTGTCACTCGTGATTATAAAGTCATGAAGAATCCCACCTGGTCTTATCAAATAAATTCACATTGGAGTCTCTAATATAATGGTGTCATGTGAATTCAATTTAAAGCGTACGTGAACACTACCTAAGGATTTGGGAAGGGGTGCAAGGAGAGTAGGAAGAGCACCCCTTTCTTCTATTAGAGTTATATAGAGAGTTAATCAATCTTTTAGAGTA